CAGCTGAATTTCAACAAAAATATACTTAAAATTCATGATAAAAGAGACAAACGTATTTGATACAACCCAAGGCAACTAAAAAACTAATTAATGCGAATAGAACAAAAATTTAAAAGACAGACATCACATAATTCATACAAATTAATGTATATTCACAAAATTCAATTTTGTTTTCACTTACATTCTTGAAATTTTTTTTTTTTTTTCATTTACAAGTTAATTCTCAGTTGATAAATGTTCATCATTTCCATCTTTGCTCAGTCTATCAACACTGGAATGTTCCTCTTCAACTTATTGTTCAACACGTTGATCGCCTTCAAGAGTCACTTCCTCACGTGTAACATTTTCATCTGCGACTTTATGCGGTGCAACATGAGCAGGATTAATATCTGATAGATGTTCGAACGAGTCGTTCATCCTATCATATTGTCGATACTTCATCAAATCAAAATCGCCATCGTCCATTCCATTTGATTTGTCGACAATCTTGAATAACTTTTCAAACTTTTCATCAAAATATTCCTAGAAAAAAATTACTAACAATGATTAATCTGAATAACATTAGCAGAAAAAAGGACTTCTTTATAAATTAGCTTACCTTGACTTTTATCAAAATCGCATCCATAATAGTATATCACTCATCCCGTTGAAACTGCTCGACAACTTCTTTCTCGATCATGCGTCTTTCTTCTTCTATATGCCTTTTAACCTCCATCGTTACCCTTTAGTATAGAGGCACAGAACAAAACTTCAAGTATAAAAGAATGCTGAAGTTCAGCAAATACAGAACATAACTTCAGCTACTAGAATGCTGAAGTTCATCACAAACAGAACAAAAACTTCAGCTAAAATATGTAGTAGTTTTACAAAAACAAAAAACTTCAGCTCAAAACTTACAGAACATATTGTGTTGACTAATTCATTGTCAAACGGCGTTATAGAATGGTTAGAACGACTATGGGTACGAGGTGATTCGCCAATTACAGAAGTTCGATTGGCTTCTTTTGATCGACTTCGACTACGTGGTGATTCACCAGTTAAAGGAACCGGATTAAGTACCTTTGAATGAATCCGGCTGCATGGTAATTGTCCAATTAAAGGCATTGAACTCCTCTTCTGTAAGAATTATATCCAATACCCTAAATGTCTGATATTTCTGTTTAATACAAAAAGTATATTGTGAAAATAAAATAAAACTAGTACATCAATATATTAACACACCTACAAAAATAAAAAAAACATTAACTTACACCATGATTACCGAAGTAATCCTCATGAAGTTCTTTATATTTAGGCTCTCCCACACATACATAACGTAATATCCTGGGAACCTGAGGGGCATCAAGGTACTCGTCCTCTCTTAAATACTTCTGCCGAATATCTGGGAAGCGATCATAGAACCAAGCACATAACGGAAATGGAAATCCACCAACAGTATACTCAGTTGAATGATATTTGTCCCGGTTGTCCAATGCATGTTTCATTGAGGTAATGCGCTTCTGATAAGGCACATTACCCCCAGGATAATCAGCACAAGCCTTATCATCTTCAACAATAGCTGCATACTCCACCAGCACAGTTGATTCATTCTTTTTTTCCAAACAAAATAGACTCCACAACAAGAATTTTCATAAGCTTCACAGCATCTTCATCACTCTCACATACGTGTTTGAAATTCACATCATCCTTTTGAATTTCATTATGGGACATAAAATCTCGAATGTCCTTTAAGGTCACACCCTTAGACTTCCCAAAATAGCGCTTCAGAATCTTGCTCTCTAGTTTACTTGGCTTTTCAACATTATGTGTTGTGATCCTCAAACCGCACATAATGTGAAAGTCTTCAAGGGTGAATGATATATCATGGCCAAAAATCTTGAAACTAATGGAGTCTCGATCATTGGTGAATATTCGAGAAAGACACAAACAATGAACCAACTTCATGCTGCATTTGAAATTCTTCATAGCCATAATATACCGAAATGTACCATTATTCAACTTATCCTATTGTGCAGGAGTCAAGAAAGTTGCAATTAAACTCTTCAAATCGTGGTTCCCCTTCCAGTAAGCAGGACAATTAAACCAATCTCGAAACTCATAATATATATCCCCTGGTAGGGGGAGCAATAGGGACCGAAGGACCTTTGTATATTCTACGTTGTTTAGGTGCTTTAGGTTCTTTAGGTGCTTTAGAATTTGTAGGTGATTTGAATTTCGTAGATGCCATTTGTTCAAAAAAAAAGATAGGAAAAATAACGTCAGAATATTATCAAAAAAATCAGTTAAAACTTCAGCTCTAAGAAGACTGAAGTTCAGCAAATATAAAACAAAAACTTCAGCTCCTAAATGCTAAAGTTCAGCAAATACAAAACAAAACTTCAGCTCATAGAATGATGAAGTTCACCAGTTACAAAACAAAAATTTCAGCAAAAACATGTTGTAGTTTTTACAAAAACGGAACACTAATTCAACTCAAAATAATACTGAAGTTCATAAAAAATATAACACAAAACACAAAACAAAACATCAGCTCCTAAAATTAAGGTATCCTTGAAGTATTATAAACTTCACATTTTAATAATATCATCTATTTAACTCTCAAAAATTTTAAAAATTTCGACGTCTCCAAAAATCACCGAAGAATTTATAGAATTTTCATAAAAAACACAAACACACGTTTAAAAAAACCTAAAAACGCAATCGTAAAAGTAAAACTAATGCACTAATCAAAGTAAACCCTAGGAAACTGTTTTATCATAAATAAAAAAAAAGGGAAACAATTCAATTAACATGACCATCAAAACAAAAACCAAAAATTAAATCGTAAAAATTAATACTAAAATAAAACCCAGAAAGTTAATACAATGTACCTGTGGTTATACGTAATATTATTGGGGAACAAACAGTTGAAAAATAAAAAAGAATGACGAAAACCGTTTGATTTCAGAGAAGAACAAATAAAAAATGCGAAGAACGGGAGAGAGAGATAGAGACAGTAGAGGACTGGCGTATACTTGGAGAGAAAGTAGTCCTTTAATAAAGAAGGGCAAAATCATCTTTTTAAAAAGCTTTAAACAAAAAACGGGTACGAGTGCAAACAGAAAAATAAAGCGGCTACAGGTTAAAAAGGGGCGACCAAATAGGGCGCCCCATGCAATTTTTATTGTGCCACAATAGCCCGTTCGGATGAGCTTTTGTTAAGTGGCTTTTAAGCCATAAGTTAGGAATTCTAGCTTTTGGCTTTTGGCTTGTTTTTGTCATTTTAGCTTAAAAATACTTTTTTACTATATTCAAACGCCATAAAATGGGTTAAAAGTTACTTTGGATTAAAAGCATTTAAAATAAGTCAATCCAAACGGGCTCAAGGTCACTTCTTATATGAATTACTAAATCCAAAATGAAAGAATTACAAGAAAATACACATGACTTCACACCATAACAAAAAATGGCCCATGTTTTAAGTTTTACCCGACCTAGCTCATATTGTACATATTTTGAAAGTACAAATTCAAAATCTTTGTCCTTACAACCATTGCTTTTAAATTAAAAGCTATGGAGTTAAATATGTGTTCTCACAACCATTGCTTTCACTCTCTCTTCTTTTCACATCTTCTACATATGCTTCAAGGGGCCGTCCGCCATTACTGTTTCTCTCCCTGTGTCACCTGGTTGCAATGTAAGAACATTGAAGAGTAGAAGTCCACCATTGAAGGCCATTCAAAGCTTTGCTTTCGAAAGTAGGATTTTTTGAGTGTGTTAGTTGTTTGGATTGGGTGTTGTTCCAATTGATTGAAAATATCAAAAGGAGTTCAAAATTTAAATTTGAAGTGATTTGGAGTAGATTTGAGCAAGATTTGAGTTAAATTTCAGAAAAGACGCAAGGAAGAAGACGAATTCAGTTTTTTGTATAATTATGTATAATCTTGTATAATAGTGTATATGAGTGTATAAACACATCTTATACACTTTTATACACCTTTTTACAAGTGTCTGTAGACGAACTTCTTCCACGATTTTCAGTTGCAATTCTTGTTCAAAACCAGTCCAAATCTCTATTAAATGACTTCAAATTTTATATATAATATCCTTATACTATTTCTAACAAGTCTAAATAACACCCACTCCAAATTTTTCACAAAATCAAATTCGAAATTTAAATTCACATATTTAAGCTTGTTAAAAATCTAATTTTTACCACCCAATTGGATTTAGTTTGTTGAACTAATATTTGAGTCACAGTTACTGATTCGAAAATTAAATTAAAAACTTGAACAATCTTTTTTAAAAATTAAATAGTAATTTCGAGAATCTGTTGAAGGTGAATATTGAGTATAGCCTATTATTTTTGGGCTAGTTGGTTGTAAATTGAAATATAGGCTATAAAATTAAAAATAGGGAGCCCAGTTATTGTCATGTGAAATTTTTCCATTCAAAATTCCTAAAATGACTTAGACCTAAAACCTCAGAATGATCTCGCCAATTTATGTAACCTCCGCAACAGACATTATAAGAACAATGGGAAAGGAAAAAACAAAAAGGAAAAGGGGAAGAAAAGTTAGAACCATAGATACTTTTGTTTGATATAGGAGGCCCAGAAAAACACACACCACAATTTCGGACTCTTCCCGTTTCAGTTTACGTAATATTATAACCTCCACAACAGACATTATAAAGAACTACGGGAAAGGAAAAGGGGAAGAAAAGTTAGAACCATAAATACTTTTGTTTGATATAGGAGGCCCAGAAAACGAAACGAAACCATATAAAGTCGCTCCATTAATTAACAATAAAATTAATCATATTAATCTTAATTTATTTATTAGAAATATAACAAATAATCAGGCTCTTTACTCCATGGGCAAGTATGAAAAAAAAAAGTTAATTCTTTATTGATATCTAAAAATCAAATATTATGTATCATAAAAAAGGTCAAAAAATTAATTAAAATAGACAGAATATAATTAAAAAAAGGCCAAATTGTGAACCACTAGAGAATAATCTAAAAGCTTTGAACTAATTTTTCTTCTTCTAATGCTCAGTAGCATCTATGACATTTTATTAGCATAACTATTTATCAAAGCCAAAGCGTTGCTGGTCACCTCCTTCACCTTAGCAGCACGATCAGAGACGTCCATCTTCAAGGGTCCATCAGGAACATCCTCAAATCCGTCCGTACACGTTTCTTCATTGGTTAACGCGGCGCTCATCCATGTTTGAACGTTACTCATCCGAAACCTCAACGACTCGGCCGAGCCCCCGAGCGTCCTCATTTGATTCAGCGAGTCGCGTATTTGGTCCACGGCATCTCTGAACACAGAGAAGCAATCGTGCAGAGCAGCTCCGGTTCGTGGCTGGGCACTGTAGTTCGCTTCACGGGAGAGGTTGGAGAGGTACGCCACGGCAAATTTGGCGTTGTCTAGACTAACTCCGATGGCTACAAGAGCCAACCGAGCCGAGTCCTGTTGGACAATGCTGGCGTAGCTACAGAGAGAGTTATAGCATGTGTGAGGGTATTGTGTAGTTTGACAACTCGAACGGATAAAATCTGAGTTACTGGAGGTAGGGCCGTTGGTGGCCGGTGACGGCGAAGGAGCAGTGGCGGCAGTGTTAGAGGTAGCGGCGACTAAGGAAACAGCGGGGAGAAGGCGGAGGTGAAGGTGGAAGGCGACAAAGAAGAAGAAGATGATGGAAAGGGAACGTGAAGTTCGCATAATTTAGCTTTTTTGCTTTCTTTGTCTTCAAACTTGCTATGTTGTGGTTTTAAAAGCAGTCTTTCCGTAGGCAAATTTGCCATGCTGTGAAATGACTTATATGCCCTTGTCGAACAAACTGTTCTTGTGGTTGTGAGAAATTTTGTTAGGATTTTGTCAACATGTAAAATCCAAAATGTGTTACTAATATTTCTTCAAACAAATTATTAACCTTTCGAGATGAACTGAAGTGGAATATGGTCAATTATAGAATCTTGCTTATAAAATATTTCAAATCATGTACTAAGAGATGAAGATGGAAATAATACAATGAGATCAACACAAACTCCAAAAATAAAAGTAAAACTCGATAGAAATATAGTATAGACATTAAGAAGTGTACATTTTTCTAATTATTAGTACTATCAATTATACTTGTGTTACCTACTTCAACTAGGAAAGAATTAGTGTAACATAAATCTCAAGTTATTTTAAATTAAGAATCTATAAAAATATTTCAAACAAGGAAAATTTTAAAATCTTAAATATTAGGAAAATAACATAAATTACAATGTTGTCCTATGTAAATTTATTTTAAAGGGTAAAAAAGACGAACAATATTTCGTTAAGGACCTTCATGCTTTTAAACTTCCTTTCAATAGTTAAGTCCACAGTTCTATAGGCCAAGATACTGACTTAGAAAAACTAAAATTAGAATGTAATTGCAGTTTGTAAGGCATATCCATAACGAAAAAGGAAATAAATCGTATAACTCACCATTAATCTAAATATTCCATAAGAGTCATATTTCTTCTCTCTACTGCAACACTATATTATGGAATATCCGGTATAGACAATTGAGATATAATCTTCTATTTTGATAAGTAACTAATGAACTTTGTAGAGAAGTGCTAGTTACCTACGATCAAATCGTAGTGATTTAATATATTTTCATGGTGCTTCTCCTTATCAAGTGTGAAAATCCTTGAATTATTCAAAGCATTCAGACTTACGATGCATCAAATATATATTCATATTTTGAGTAATCATTTATCAATGTCATAAAAATACTCAAAACCACCTCTTGCCTATATATTCATTAGATAGTATAATCAAATTCTAACTTATCACCAGCTCTCTTTTCTTTGGAGCAGAAATGTCTTTTAGTCATATTTTCTTCTAAACAGGATCCATAAGTTGGTAGTGCCTCTACTTTTAATGAACCTTAAGGTTCATCATTGACCAACTTAAATCCTATCCATATAATTATGACTTAGACGCAAGTTCATAGATAAGTTTCACTCAATTTTGAAGAACATTTTCTCTTATGAGGTAGACTAATATTGTTCTGTTCAGGAGAGACATTAATTAACAATAACAAGGTCATGCATCTATGTACCATAAGAGATAAAATGTTTACCAAGCTCAATAACACAAGATTTATTCAAAAATGAACCAAATATCCATCTCTTATTTTGCTTAGAAACCAGAATTAAATTCCTTCTTTAAAAAAAAGGTTGCATCTTTTAAATTAATGTCTTATCGCTATTAAAGGAAATTTTAACAAGTAATACGGCAAATTGCATGAATTTATTTTGGAGTTGAGATATAAATCATTAAATAAATCATAATAAGTCAAAACACTGAATAATAAAATTCCGACTGCATCCAATATATATACATACATGCATCTTGAATAGCAAATTTCGATGGAAAAAGAGTCATTCATGCAAAGTATATTATTTAATGCAAGAAATATACAATCCAAAAGGAAACAGAACCAACTTAGATGGAGAGTAAATTGTTTTTTTCAGTCAATTGTATATAATTTGATATAAAATTTCAAACGCGCTACACACATATATTCATGCACCTTGAATAGCAAATTTCGATGGGAAAAGAAATACTCATGCAACATACATATGTAATGTCATATTATTCACTCAAATAAATTAAAACAGACTCAACTCAGATGAAGAGTATACTGTCAATTTAAGTCAAGTGAACATCATAATTAATAGCTCTAGTTCCATTGATCCAACATGTATACTCAGATGGAGAGTAAGTACATGATTTCAATAACTAGTATTTCACTTAGTGAGCTTACAATAAATTTATCCGATATGGAGGAAGACCTAAAGGCGACGCGTAAATTTACACTCACTTGAAATTAATAGTGGAAGACCATAGAAATATATTTCTATCACCACTTAATCATGGTTGCATTATAATTACAAAATTGATTCAACGTGTAAACTCAGATGGAGCGTCAATACATGTTATCAACTACTAGTAATTATGCTCAGTAGGTTCATAATAAATTTATCCGATATGAAGGAAGACCTAAAGTGGACGCGTAAATTTATTATCTCACTATAAACAAATAGTGAAGACCATAGGGGTTAATTCCTATTACCACTTGATCACAACCACAGAATTTTCTCTAAGGATTAAGTTCCAAAATTCACAAAATGCTTAAAAACTCATCTAGACAGTCATGAAACACTAAATCAATGTTATTCACTGCATATAGCAAATATTATTTATTGGAGTTTTTGATAGACTTACCAAATTTCAGATCAATTGGAGATCATAAAAGTCATGATCTTCAAAAGAACAACCAAATTTAAAAAGCTACAATTTAAGAATTTTTAGGAATTTAAAACATGGTATACATTCCAATCATATATCAGTTCACGTAAAATAAACATGTGTCATCATATTCCAGATTTATTAAAATAAGACTGACATAAAAGGAATGATGTTTCATATCTAAATCACATTTTAATCTAGCAAACTGCCCAAAAAAACCATCTAAAAGACCCTGAACTGCCGAAATACGACATAATTCTCTGCATAGCAATGAGTATTTCTTATCAGGTCGTTTCCGATGAACCCACCGAATTTCAAGTCAATTGGAGATGATGATCACCAAAATGAGACCAAATTCGAATAAGTCTTTTTAGGCGAATTTAAAATTCAACCAATATGATTTACATTCTTTCCATATATCAGACTAAGTTAAATTATCATGTGTAATCATGTTCCAGATTTAACACAAATAAAACCGATATATAAAGAATAATTTTTCATATTTAAAGCTTATTTAATCCAATAAACTGCTTAAAACCCCCATCTAAACGACCTCGAAACACCCAAAAATAACGTGATTCACTGCATAGCAGTGAGTGTTTCTCACTAAGTCGTTTCCGACGGGCCTACCAAATTTCAGGTCAATTGAAGTTCGTCAAAATCATGACCCTCCAAATTTATGACCAAATCCGAAGAATATCCATTTTAGGCATTTTCATGGATTAAAATAAATATGATCATGCTTTCTATTATCCATATAATTATTCCATGAGCACATGGCATTGATTATGTCCGTTCTTATTAAACCGCCTCTTACACCAAATTGTCCTCCCATGTTATATACATGAGAATCCAAGATATTACTTTTTATCCTTTTGGATGAACTCCTTAATATCTCTTCTCGTGAATAAATGTAATGTCACTAGTATCAAGAGCTAAACATCTATTGGGTAGATGAAACCTCCACCACTAGCGCAAATTTATCAAGAACAATTTTTCACATGGTACATTGAGTATTTTCCAATGACTCAAATAAATAGACCATTTTGGTAGATCCTATTTATTAATCATAACTTTCAATCCATGAATTGACATAAGCACACATATATAAAACTATTAAGAATTTTCAATGATTCCAAATATTTAAATCACCTTAGTGATAACAATTTAATAATCATAAATTCTTAACTCATGTATAATATCATCTCACATGTATAAAATAAGTGTCAAGAATTTTCAATGATTCAAATAAAAATTACTTTGATAGCACTTATTTATTAATCATAAATTCTTAGCTCGTGTATAATGTACCGTGAGAAGAAAAGAAAAAAGACAATGTCCATATTATATAAATAATCCTCACATAACATCCCTTTATAAAACAGAAATCATACAATTGCTAGACGACTTTTGGTAGGGCACTGATATATACCAAAATAAAGCAGAAGCCGTATGATTTCTTTCATTCCAAAGTGATGCACTTCTTTGATTTAATTAATTAATTAATCACAAGAGGCATATTTGCCTTTACGGAAAGTAATGGATCGATACTTACTTTCTGCCTTTCAGCCGCCACCCATATACCTAAGCTTTGTTCCCCAATTTAATTGGAACTATTTTCGTCGGCGGCAAGGACGAAACTCACAACCAACTAAAACCTATCAGGTAAGCCTAAGGTATGAATCTTTAGGCCTTTATGTATGAGCCAAAACATTAAAGACTATTACTATGAAAATAAGGTTTAAAGTATACCCGAAGCAGTGAACATAATTAGTACTGCTTTAAATACCTTGCTTAAGCCTTATTTCACCGTTTCCCATGCCGCCGAACACAAGGACATCTAGGTTAATGTTAACCCCTTTATTTTTATTTTTGTTTTAGTATTCTTAGTATGTCAAACAACTCAAACAGTAGGTTAAAACCTAAGATGTCAAACAACATTGTGTTCTTGCACTGCTTACGTCTAACGGCTTTAAAATTTTACACATGATTTTCAACAAGATTGTAAATCATGAAACATACGTATAATTATCAAACATGTACATATCATTTATGTTATCTATTTATGATGAAAGAGAAGTCTTGAGAGATAAAGACTAATAGTAAAGAAGAGTTTGACAATGCCGAAGCTTAGCGTTGGCTGCTGTCTGACTTTGTATTTATATTAGCAAGTTACAATAGAGATAACAACAAATATATACAAAACGTGTACAACTCTACTAGGTTGTTATGCATATCTAGAGTCCTACAACTTTACAACATTATCACATCCTAACACCCCCCCTCAAGCTGAAGGGGAGGAACGAACACAAAGCTTGGTTAGGAGATCGTGGAACCTAGCAGATGGCAGAACTTTGGTAAACAAGTCAGCAAGTTGATGAGAAGTGGAAACATGAGAAACAAGCAAGTCTCCTAGGTTGACCTTTTCACGAACAAAATGATAATCCAGTGCTACATGCTTAGATCG